CGGGCCAGCGATCAAAAGTATAAGACATACCATTTCGCATACCAGAAGATTTTCCGCACCGGACAGCAGATATGACCATATAAATGTTGGCACAGTTGGACCACTACCCCGGTCAAATTGTTTCAGCCACATTTTAGCATGTGTAGACAGATTTACCAGATACTCGATGGCAATACCTCTGCAAGATATATCTGCCAAGAAGGCAGCGAGAAATATCATCCAACGCTGGATTTCTAACTTTTGTGTCCCAAGTCTCATCATTACAGACAGAGGTGGGCAGCTAGACAGTTGTCTATTCCAACAATTAACTGAACTCCCAAGGATCACGCTCATAAGAACCACTGAGTACCATCCTGCATTCAATGGTATTGTTAAAATGGTTCTGTCGACAGTTAAAATCAGAACTGATGGCAGTGGTGGCTGATGACAAGTTGAGTGACATATTACCACTAGTACTCCTTGGTATAAGTTCGAGTGTCAAGCAGGACATTGGCTGTTATACTGAAAAGTTAGCTTATGGAACTGCCTTGCGAGTGCGGGGAGATTATTTTAACTCAACAACAGACGTTCCAGCGGACTTGACTAATTATGTGCAACAACTACGGCGCCACGTGAGTACACTACGACCTCAGTCTCCATGATGCCGAAACAACCAAGTGTACGTTAATCAATACGTATCAAGCTCCAGTGAGTTTTTACCTGACACGCCAGGATACGAAAACCCTAGCAGCCCACGTATTACAGACCTTTCGAAGTAATTAGCAAATCAGACAAAGTTGTCACAGTCGAACGCTTCGGCAGACAAGAAACGGTCAGCATTGACAGAATCAAGCTGGCGTTTGAGGGACTAAACGTCACGGACACCAAATCCGAATCCACACTAAAGCAACAGGATACACCGAGACCCCAGTTAAAAAGAAAACGACGGTGTCGGAACCACCCACAACTAGCGACGGTAACAGAGCCACGTGGCCCGTCAGCCACAACGCTACTTTAAGACAGTTTTCTTTGGTAAAACCCAATTCACTAGTAACATCATTACTGCTTTTTGTTCATTACCTTGTTAAAAACACAATCAAACGGTTTTGTCAGACCTTTTCACATTTTGGGATTTGTCCTAGTGCGAACTTGACAGACGCAAAGACCAATCACTTGTTATATACCCACGAATACGAGACCAAGGAAGAACACGATAGCGTAGTCGGATGGAATAGTATATTTGGATGGTTATGCCAAAATACCGATGCGTTCCAACTAACTGGCTAGAGAGTCGAATACGAGCAATGCAACGTAACACGACAGCGTGCCAAATGGCGAGGATGCTTGACCGGATGCCTTCAGCTTAGCGAGTCCAGTTAAACTATCAAGGTCAGCATCAATGTCGAAGTCGTCAAACCCTAGGCTATTGATTTTGGGGAAGTGTATGACGCTACAGATCACTCCCCCCTAGTGGGTTCGTGAGGACCCTAAGACGATACCAGCCGGAAGTAAAAACCCAGTGGTTTCTCCACTGGTAAAACTCTCCGATGGGCTCACTGCGTGAGGTGGCCCCTGGTTGTCTGAACCTTATTCTAGGGTGTCGTGGCGATTAAATAAATAAAATACAATAAATGAAATTGTACGTCGGTCGCGGTCATCTGTTCCTTTCGACGTTCCGTCCAGTGCTCGTTGCACCTGGAATATAAATAAAAGTCTTTAATACCACGAAAACGTTGCGTAAAAATGGGAATTATTTATATATAAACGTGTCGAAAAAAAAAATTTACGCTTATCTTCGCCGTTTTTTTAAGTTTTTATTACATGGTAAATAAAAATTGATATAAAAAGGCAAAGTGTACGAGGGTTTGTGCCGGTAAATAAGAAAAATAGTGCCTCGAAAAAAAATATGGTTGGCACACACACAGCTAAGTTGAATATGACTTCAGGTACTCTGGGAACCTGACGGTTCGACCTGATCGTGTTTTTTGTTGCGCCGCTGGTTGTTGCAGCTGTGCATTACCAGGCACATCGTCGAGAATTTCGATAATTGAGTCATCCGTCGGTCGGATGTAGCGAGCTGAAACGTCACTTACAATGGGGTTGCCTTCGAAATAAGCTGGTTTCAAACGGTCGATACTGACAGTATCTTACGTCCGTCTCGCTCAATTACATAGAATTTCTCATGTCGCTTAATCACTTTGAACGGCCCGTCGTAGGGTGGTTCAAGTGGTCGACGAACAGCGTCGTGGCGAACAAACACGTGTGATGTCTTCTGTAAACTGGGGTGGACGAAAACATCAGTCGTTTGCGGTCTAATCGGAGAAGGCCTAACTGAACGCATTGCGTTTGTAAGCCTAGTCACGTAAGATGCCCTGTCGGAAACATGTTTGAAAGTTGAAGGGGAAACAAACTCACCTGGTAGGCGAAGAGTGGTCCCATAGACGAGTTCTGCAGGAGTGCATCCAGCATCAACTTTCAACGCGTTACGAATACCTAGTAGGACTAGAGGCAGAGCCTCGGTCCACTGAGGTATGTTTGTAGCTGAAAGGGAAGCTTTCAGCTGTCGATGGAAACGCTCTACCATGCCATTTGCTTGTGGATGGTAGGCTGTCGTTCGGAACCGAGTGCAACCTAAAAGTGCCGTTAGAGCGTGAAATAGTCCGCACTCAAATTGGCGCCCACGGTCGGTTGTGACGTAGGATGGACATCCGAAGTTCGCGATCCATCTTTCGACGAAAACACGAGCAACTGTTTCGGCAGTAATATCTTTAATGGGTACTGCTTCCGGCCATCGTGTGAAACGATCAACACAGGTGAAAAGGTAGGTACATCCATTAGATTCTGGTAGGGGTCCTACAATATCTATATGGACGTGGTCGAAACGCATGTCTGGGGCTAGAAATGAGCCTAAAGGGCTTTTCGTGTGTCGCGTGACTTTACACTTTTGACAAGCTAAGCACGACTGGGCCCACTCCTTAACGTCTTTGTTCATCCCAGGCCAGCAGAAACGTTGTGCGATAAGCCTAATGGTGGCTCGTACACCTGGATGAGAGAGTTTGTGCAACGTATTGAAGACGTTGCGTCGACAACTCTTCGGAACTATTGGGCGTGGTTGACTAGCAGAGACATCGCACAAAATTGCATCCTTGTCTGATCCAACAGGACAAAGTCGCAGTTTGAGAGTTGTGGACGACAACTCATGATGCAGCTCAAGGTCTTCCTTTTGACGCCGAGCTAGTTCAACGAGATCAATACCCTCGATATAGTTTATCGAAGCTATTCGAGATAGTGCGTCGGCTGCGGAGTTGTTTGCTCCAGAAATGTGGCGGATGTCTGACGTGAACTGGGAAATGTAATCCAGCTGTCGCGACTCACGAGGGGAGTATTTGTCAGACGCCGAGCTGAGGGAAAACGTTAACGGTTTGTGGTCTGTGAAAATAATGAAATCACGACCTTCCACAGAATGTCGAAAATGGCGTACAGAACAGTACATGGCTAGGAGTTCCCTACCAAATGTACTGTATCTTGTTTCCGCGTCTTGCAGCCGCCTCGAGAAAAAGGCTAACGGTTGCCACTGGTTGTCAGTCAACTGTTGCAAAACTGCTCCAATTGCTGAATCAGATGCATCAACAGCAATACTCAGAGGAGCATTGGGGTCATGATGCATAAGCATGGTTGCGTTCGAAATGGCTTCCTTGACTTTAGAGAAAGCAAGTCTAGCCGCGTTGTCCAGAGACACGAACTTCGCAGTTCCTCGAAGTAGATCTGTGAGTGGTCTCATGACAGAGGCACAGTTAGGGATAAACCTTCGGTAATAACTTACCAGGCCATTGAAAGTGCGGAGATGTTTCACAGTGGTCGGCTCTGGATAGTTTGTGATAGCCGCCACTTTATCTCTCAATGGGCGTATACCTTTGTTGTCAATGGTATGCCCAAGGAAGCTGAGTGATTCAACTCCTATTTCACACTTCTGTAAGTTAACTGTGATGCCATGTTTTTTGGTCTTTCGAATGCGAGGTCCAAATGTTTAAGGTGTGTTTCCTTATCTGGACTCGCAATTAGACAGTGAACAAAATTCAGACCACGGAAGACGTCGTCCATAAAGCGTTGGAATGTTTGTGCTGCATTCCGAAGACCAAAAGGCATGCGCAGGAATTCAAACAGGCCAAAAGGAGTAATAATGGCTGTTTTCGCGATATCTTCTGCTGCCATAGGTATCTGGTTGTACGCTTTGACTAAGTCGATTTTCGAGAAAATGTTCATGCCGCATAAGGTTGCGGTCAAGTCGTAAACGTGGGGTATAGGGTAGCAGTCCGGAGTTGTTTTGGCGTTAAGCCTTCGGTAATCACCGGTCGGACGCCAGTCGTTGCTATCCTTTTTGGGCACCATGTGCAATGGCGATGCCCAAGGACTGTTTGACGGTCTGATAATGCCCAGTTCGAGCATATGGTCGAATTCATTTTTCGCCGTTTGCAGCTTATCGGGGGCTAAACGGCGAGCTTTGGATGCCACAGGTGGACCTGTGGTTGTGACGTGATGCATAACATTGCTGGTTATGCACGGAAGAGTGTGTTTCGGTTGTTGTAACTCTGGATATTTCTCCAGAACTGCCTGGTAGGACGCGTCGCCTGATTGTTTAGTCCTAACGATGGCTAAACTCGGACCTACATAGGTGGTGCCGCCAATAGATAACTTTGTGTTGTTATCTATCAGTCGTCGACGGCGAGCATCTACGAGTAGATCGTAATGGTTCAGCAAATCTATGCCAATGATGGGCATAGAGACGTCTGCCAGGAGGAAAATCCAGTGAATAGGTTTGCGTAAACCTAAGTTGAGGTAGGCATACCGTCTCCCGAATGTCGCGATTGCCTTGCCGTTGGCTGCTTGAAGATTGAAGGATGGGTCGAGATGACGCTCCTTTGTCGTTGCTGGAAGAACGCTAACTTCTGCGCCGGTGTCGACGAGGTAGCGGACTTTCGTTTTAATGTCGGTGACGTAGAGCAAACGGCTTTTTCCGCCGGCTACGGTTGCCGTGAGCACGTGCCGGCGTGACCGTTTCCCGAGTTTGTGTCCTTCTTAAAACGGCATGGTTTACGACATTTTCTGGCTTCATCCCCGTAAGTGTTATGAAACCAGCACCATTCAGGGTTTTCCACCCTGTTGGGTTTCGTTTTAGGGCTACCACGCGACTTGCTGCGATGCGCCAAGGTGCGTTTCTGTGAAGTGCTACGTGATCTAGGACTTCGAGATCGTAGCAACCGTTTCACAGAGTTGCACAACTTGGTCACCTCCGAATCCTGGCGCTCTGTTTTGTCGCAGATAGAATATACGTTGGAGACGGGTCTGCTGGATATCTCCAGTATTTTATCTGCTGAGGCTGCCAGGTCGTCGAGTGGGACTGACTGGAGTGTCACCAACACGGTTTGCACCGGTTGTGGTAGTTTCGAGAGAAATAGTTCTCGGAAGAAACCATCGTCAAATGTTCGTGCACCGATTACTTCTCGCATGCGTGCGAGGACTTCAGTAGCTGAGTGGCTGCCTAGCTCGATGTTACGAAGCAATTCGTCTAGACGTTGGCGATCTGTGAGATCGCTTTTCTTCAAGAGTGCGGCCTTTAGAAGTGCATAAGGGTCACTTACTTCAGGATTAAACATGTTTGCTGTAACATACCTGTTTAATTCTCGCGGTAGTGAACGTATGACAGCAAGAAATCGAGATTGAGGATCTGAGACACCCTGTTCTCGAAAATCGGCCTCGGCATACAGAAACCATGTTTCTGCATTGTCTGGCCAATATGGCACGAGTTGGATCGTGTTCGAGTCGGCTTAATACGAATAAGCTTGGGAGTGTGGTCGGACATGAGAAAGTGTAGTAAATGGATATATAAATGTTATCGAAATGAAAACAATAAACAAATATAAAATGGAACAGGCTCACCAATTCAATACTTGTTATTGGTCGGGATATGTGATCACGTCGGGCTCACCAATTTAGGATTTGTCCTGGTGCGAACTTGACAGACGCAAAGACCAATCACTAATTATTCGAACTTGTTATATACCCACGAATACGAGACCAAGGAAGAACACGATAGCGTAGTCGGATGGAATAGTATATTTGGATGGTTATGCCAAAATACCGATGCGTTCCAACTAACTGGCTAGAGAGTCGAATACGAGCAATGCAACGTAACACGACAGCGTGCCAAATGGCGAGGATGCTTGACCGGGTGCCTTCAGCTTAGCGAGTCCAGTTAAACTATCAAGGTCAGCATCAATGTCGAAGTCGTCAAACCCTAGGCTATTGATTTTGGGGAAGTGTGTGACGCTACAACATAAACAAAAAACGCTCTTGTCTGACCCCACCAATTCTGAATCTTTCGTTCCTCGACAATATCCGGGCATTACGATTTCGGATTTTCTAACTCCCGATACACCATACACTTGGTGAAGTGACTTTAGTGTTTGGACCACCATGCACTTCATTCTCATACCACTATTCTTCCAACCAGTTTACATCCTAATATTAGATATCCTCAACCTTCCTTCTATGCTTTAAATATCTTCACAATGAATGTACCTGTCGGATATGCCTATATCTTTGCTATTCCATACTTACAGGCTGTATATATTTGATCTGGTTTATTCCGCGCTCTTTCTCCCGCGCATGGGTCATATCTCGTATGATGTGCTATTGTTCTGACTGCCTTCTACCTCTTTAAATGTACTAGTTATTCCTTGTCTTTCGAGGTTACTACAAACCATATAAAAGGGGTCCGTTTTCCATCACAAAGGTTTTCAGCCTAAGACACTAAAAACTCATCCGACTTCCAGTCTTTTGGTTTCACATTGCGAATCATTTGGGATGAACCGTTTCAACCCTGGACTAACAATCGTTCAGCATTTTCGCGCGTCCTCACGAAATCGCATCATAACAGTATCTTACCAGATAAAGACTTATATCGGACACAGATATTCTTTCTTGCATTTGTATTTTAAAGAATGACCTACAGAGCATTTATTTCACAGTATTTTGTTGGTATACTTAACAACTGAACATTTGCTCCATTGTACTGATTTCAGAATTGTCTGCCCGTTGACCAACACAGTATCTCGCTACTTACTTTGCGTTGTCTTTCGATATTCAAACTGTCTGACGCAGGTGGATCAGCAGTGCCGGGTATAATAAATGGGTCCTGGAGTATCGGGACGCGTATATAAATCTTGAGTCCAGTATCAGTGCTCAGCAGCTTAGGAAAACACCCAGTTCCCTCAAATAAGGCTTGTTTGGCCCTATTAGCTTGATGCTAGTCTACCTTGCTTACTACCTTCAGAGCCAACCCTTAATATAGCCTAGGCTTCATTGATATCCAGAGCTGAAAGTTGTATACTGCTAGAGGTCCAGTAATGCGATTGCATACGGTTCGCAATGATCTTGGTGGTGTATTAAAAGCTTGTCATATGTAAAATTGGTTCGCTGAGTGAACTGTTTCACTGAATTTCTAGGCTGCTATCACGCTCTCAAAGGCCTTACGTGTCATCGTGGCGTTGTAATACAAACTACCCTTGCCAGTATGTTGTTTGACAGGCCGTGTAAATCGGATAGTTAAGAACTGGCTTATCCACGCTGTGCATAACTGATTGACGTGATCATTGATCGGAATAACAATCATGCTTGGTTGTGCAAACAAATGGTGTAAATGGTCCACCAGGTGAAGGCACCCGTGTCGTTGTGCCACAGGATGTGACTGTATACCATCCTGGTTATGAAAGGTCTAGAAGTGTATTCTGTTCTCCTGAAAAACAGTGTATAAATATCCGTTCAAATGATGGATACGCATCATATTATGAACAGATGGTTGATCCTGCCTGTAGTCATGTGCTTGTATAAGAGGTTAGGCCATGCATCGCTAAGTACACACCTTAATACGGCGAAACGGCAAACGCCTCATTAAATCGAAAACGCTACATGGACAGCTGCAGTAATTTTAGAGCAAATAAGTGCCATTATGCACTGACCCGCAAGGGGACGCGTGCATTTATTAGAACAGAAAAAAATCAAATCCAAGTGTACTTTCTGGGAAATAAAAGCGCAAAGATGACTGCATTCGGACTGAGCAGTTTATCAGCTCTCGGTAAGTTAATTATGTCCTGCCTCACACATTACGTATGTTAGGACTTGGTCGTGGTCAAACGGGGATTGGTGCTGCCTTAGAAAACATTAAAGCTCAGAGTAAAAGCAGTTCTGCACAAAGTGAACTGATGACTTCATCAACTAATCAGGTGATTACCAATTTACTCCGAGATGACATCCAGGTAAGGGTTGTTTATTAACGAGATTAATATATGTTCATAATTAATAAAAAAATCCAGTGTGATACAACCTGTTACCGATTTATGAACTAGTCACTGAGCCGTACTGACCGTGTCAGGGCTCACCAAGCACTCGTAAATATCCTTAGTTCCATAACACCAACAACTGTCCAGTCAACTTGACACTATAGTACTAGTGCATCACGTAACATTCATGTGAAAACTTCACATGAGATAAAATAATTTGACACGGAATTATTCTCGCTAAAAACAACAGATTATTTAATATGAGAAAAACTACCCGTAGTTTAGATATTTACGAGGTAGAATTTGCCATAAGTAGGAGGAATGCGATTAGCATTTTCTATTCGTTGATCCGTCTCCCGCGGCAACAGTATCAGAACGCTGAATGCATTACCCATACACCACAATACACAATGAGACAAGTTTGAAATGAGTCTCATGTCCTCAATCGACCTGCAACCATCAAGTTATGTGTATGTGTACACTGTGGAGCTGAGACTCATTGTTCTAGGCAATCAACTTCCAACCAATAGGTCACTCACTGGTTTGAATCGCGCTCCACCTGTCGGGTTTTAGGCAGCGGGGATATATTATGTATCACTAGCCTGCACACAATAGGAATGATTCATTGCCTAGACCACAAATGTTCGAGTGGTTGCTGAGTGCGTTTCAATTCGACATGGTCGACTTCCATTTCTTTCAATCAGACTGAATGTGGATAGCTACTGAATCAAGTCACTTGAAGCAATTCTGAGATGCATTTAGATAACGAACGGCATCATACTTTTTTTATAGCTCCATTTGTTACAAAAATAGTTCACATGAGAAAAGAACTTTTATTTCACAGCCGATTTGTAAGTTAACAATATTGATTGTTGGGGGTACAACTAGACGCAAAAATGCAATGTAAACAACCACACTCTTGAAGGAATTATCACGGATAAACACCTCCGTTACGCGAATCTGATGTGTCAGGGAATTCCCAGGTTAAGTACAAATTCCTATTTAAAAGTGTTACTTCCAGGCAATAATGCAGTTGAAGACACAAAAAGTATAGTAGTTGTTTACCATCAATACAAGCTCCAGTAGTGACAATAACAAAGTTGGTTTGCACAAATGATTATAGAGCGAAGATTCATGCCACAGGAGTAAAATAAATAAAAGTGAGACAAAATAAAAATTTAGAATATCATGCAAACAGTGGAAAATTTGTTAACTTCTTGAATAGTTGTCTCGAAAACCAAAAACTGCAACTTCATCGCCTTTTGTTCAGTAATTTTTCTAATTTTCCTTTTTTATCGTCTGTTAATTGTTTCTCTTCTGTGGTAGTGAATGATCCAAACGGATTTGGTAACGTTGACTCTGCATTCTTTGACTTTTCGAACTGAGTATTTGAAGAATTTGTTACACTCGTAAGAGAAGTAGTGGTTGTAGCGCCAACAGCCGGTAGCGTAAAGTTGGTGTGAGGTGGTGCACTGGTGCAAGTAGACGTGGTAATAGTATTAACTACAGAGGATAAAGATAGTGTATTATCATTCGCTTCTTTCATACTGCATTTCAATTCATTTCGGCTACGAAATATTTCCAAAATTAACTGCTGTTCACTGAACTTTACACCCTATGAAAAACGGAGTTTTAATAACACTCACTGATTAGTGAATCTATATCAAACTCATTTAAGGCGACAGAAATCAATCTAAAACTGTAAGAAAATATGAATTCCAGTCTCCTCAATTAAAAAACAAATGCAGCTTAAATGATATAATCGCAATATATTGGTGGAAATCAATACTGTAGTCAGTGTTATGATGGGGAATATTTCCAAATCATTCCCAAATGACTTCACTCTGACTTTAGAAATAAGATCCCTGTAAACCCAGTTCAGTTCATTCCATATTCACTTATCGTATATTTCTTCATTCAACACATTTCAAGCATCGTACTTTGCTGTTATTACTCGATGCAGCCATTATTATTGTTATTATTGATAATATTAGTAGCATTAGTAGTAGTAGTCGTAGTAGTATTATCAGTGCAGTATCTTTGAATAGGTGAGAAGGTATTGAGGAAGTTCGTGTCCACTATTCAGTAGCCTAAATATTGTTTTGTTTATCATGGATAACTTTATTACCAACACTATTTCTTAGTATGTAGTCAGAGGTATTTATCTGTAATGTAAGCGAAAACTATGTGATCCAAATATACAAAGACAAATGACACTTATGAATCAACAGAGACAAATGAACATACAAGCACTACTTAGCAAAATTATATGTTTCTGCAAGTCACTACACTTTACTTGATCACACCATAGTAGCAAGTTATGCAAATTATAATAACAGAAGTCATAAACCCCGTGAAGTAGAATAACAAGCTTATTTGAAATTCTGATTAAAGTGGAGATAATGGCTTTGCTGCATAGCCACCAACAACCGTACTTCATGGGGTCTCTAGCCACCAATCTCATGGATGACAATGGGTGACAGCCGGAAAGTACCAACCACCTACACACGCTTCCAGAAATATGCCAAATCCATCTGACTGTAGCCCACTTTCCCTACCTTAATCTCTCCTATCACTGTCAGAGCTCACTCATGTCACCAACATTAAGCCCCCGACAGTTCCTCCAACTTCTGAATCTGCGATCATTGCTAACGATCTAAGCCAATAGAACACCATTCACGGCCTCCTGAAATCATGCTGTCGATTTCACATTGCAGCTTTCAACGACCGAGGCCAAGACCAAGTCGGGCAACAAGCACCTCTTGCAAAAGCTTTGAAATCTCGAGCCATGGATGTCTTCTGTGTTTTTGAGAGGCATATACAAGATCTTAGTGAGGTTATTCACTTGACTTCACCCGGCTAATTTGCTAAATTTACGTAATGAGTATTGAGAAATTCGATGGCTAGGTTTTGCACATTCGTTGGTATACGTACATGCAGCACTGGGTTGTGGAGTAGAAAGTGCACTCCATAAGTGGTTACCAACTGATTGCCAGTGGTACGCTATCGTTATCCGGCCGAATGGATCTGAAAAACTGGAAAGGAACTGGATACTAGTTAATACCTATCTACAGCCACTGTTAACGCACCCACCAACTACAGTTTAGATGATGTGGACGGCAAGTCTCACCAAATGCTGTCGAATTTGCTTTGGACGGCTGAACTCTTCTAGTACCGTCTTTCCCTTAAAGTAGTCCCTTCCCATATTTACAAAGGATTTTACCTACTTCATCGATACATAACCGAATCATAGGCAGTTCATGATCATTAATTCAATTTTTGAGTCAGGAAACACTACATTCACTCAGTAGACTTACCAAAGTCAGCGCAGTAGTGACCTTCTGACCGAACTTTTCCTACCTTTCAATTATATTAGTGGCTTTGTTAACCACTTCATCTTATTTCTCATTTTTAGACTGAATGATTCATTCTCATGTTTATTACGTCATGGTTTTAGCCTCCGCATCCTCCTTCCCCTTCGAGATTATTTTTACTGAGCAACAATTTCCTGAGTGCTCTACGACCATCTGAATGATTTCAATGACATTATTTAAAAAAGATTAGCAGCTATTGCCAAAACTTCAACAAAGCTCAATGATGCTAAACGAGTCCTTTCAGCTAGTGCTGACCACAGTGAAGAGCGAAAGTAACCCATACGTGAACTGACTAAGAGTCGTCGAAAGGAGTGCGAGGAGCGAAGAATCACAAATAATATTGTTTTGTCAATTAAATGCACAAAGAATTTGTATGAACAGCATTGTAAGGTGGAAGATTAATCTGGGACCATCGGTTATTTTGAATTCAACAATAGGATGTAATCATATTTTTAAATCTTCAAAATGCACCCGGTTATTTCTTTACAGTTATGTTCTAAGTGGTATTGAAATCGACAATCAGTCACGTACGTTTCAGTGAATGCATCACATACATTTGATACAGTTTTACACCAATAATACACGAATCGTTGAAATATGAAGCTTGAACAAAATTCAAAAGATAGTACGATAACAAACTGATAAGACTAACCATGAGTCATATTTAATCACTTCCTATAATAATTTATTCATGTATCTAAGAGATATAAACCGATACATAGCTGGAGTTAAATCTGGCAAAAGCAATACATGATTTCCTTTAGTAAATAAATTAAGCCAACACTTTTAAACCAGATATTATCATTTGGAAATAAAAAAGTAACCTACCTTCATATCTAAAACATTTTGTAGGTCAGTTTGCGTTAGATCTGGTAACAACTGTTCATAACTAGCTAAGAATACGTTTGCTGCATTTGTATCTACTGGACCCATTACAAATCCACTTGGAGGAGTTATTGACTCTTGCTTTCCTGACATGGCAACTCCAACTGGCAGCATAACTGCTTTGATGATACGTTCCGCTTTTCCCATTCCTTCATGAACTAAATTTGTAAAGCTCCGAGGAGGCGTTTGAACAAACTTTGAATCATTTAAACAAGAAGTTTCAAACATTAATTTTTAAACTGAACACCAGCAGAGTTACTTGTAGAATGAATATAAGTATTAGAAATATATATATTTCTTCGTGAACTATGAATTATTTGTCTGAACAACTTAATGTGCATTGTTTGTTATATTTATCTTCATTACGGTGGAATTCTGAATTTCTGTAAGAAACTTAAAGCATTTAGAGGATATAGCCTATTTGCATGAAGACACTAACAAGATAATGTCTTTTTAACCCCACTGAGCAACAAGTTCAAGGTTTTGAGATTTTCCTCATTACTTAAGCGACAAATTCTGTTGGCCTGCGTTGGCGTTTTGATTAAAGCACAGAGCAGAGCGCTTATGCGTGGCATCCATTTTATGTACATATATGTAGTTCCATATATCCCGGAGCCTTCGTGATTGATTGTAGTAGTGAACAACTTTGAAGTGCGATTTTTATCATGGAAAGAGTATTCTCTTAAACAGTGTAACACGTTTTAAACTATACATGCCACATTTTTACCCGACACCGTTCCCCGAGAAACATCGTGACACGATGTTTTCTCTGTGAGAGGGGAAAATATGGTTCGAATTTTCGGAAATCGATATAACCATATCTGATTGGCTTGTTGCTCCTCGGACATTGGTCCCAGTATCATACCATTTTAGTGAAACGATGACTCAGCGTCAAATGACTGAAAGTCAAATGATTGTGAAAACTGTGCGTTTATAAAGCGTCTCACTGATTAGCGAGATAATAATTGTAATAATGGTGATAGTAATGATAATGGTAGTAATAACAATAGTGATAATAACAATAACAACAATAATGATAGTAAATCAGTGTTGCATTTGCTCATCATCATTCCTCACATTGTCTTTGGACAACCTATTTTAACGCACCGCTGAATACAATTCACAGAGACCCACGTTTGAAAGATCAACGCTATTAATCGCCACAGTTGGTGTATGATAATATACGCTGATAATCAACCTGAATGATGAATTCAGTGTCAGTTCATGTGGATATTAAACATAACTATCTGAATCACAAGACTTTAGGATTTTCAAATTAAACGTGCATATTTCACTGTATACAAAACTAATTAGAAAACGTGAGCTCACCTTGGTACCAAAAAGAGGCATCTGAAGCAGAGAAGCCTTTAGTGACTGAGTATCTAAGAGAAGCTGTTCAGCTCCGAAAGTATTGACCGGTTTGCAAAGGTACAAGGAACTAACGAATCTCGTGATAAGTGCATCGGCGAATTTTATACATATCTGAGTGAAAGCTGGCCTAATAATGAATAAATAAAGATAGTGTGAGCACAGATGTTATGAAAGATAACGGAACCAACAGAGTACAGAAACAGCTTTATTACCTTATGGTGTATAAAGTTTCTCTTATTAAAGGAATTTGAATACGCAGGTAATTTACAATTTCCGTAACATATCCACTCTGGTCTCCCACTTGCACAAAGCTATTCCAAGGCAAACGTGGCATTGCTGTCAACTGGGGTTCAACTCCAGCTTCCAAGTCTGCAACCAACCGTTGGGCACAGAGAGATCTGCAGGTAGCTAAGCCGTCGAGTTCAGAGGCGAATGATATTTTTGAAGCCCAACTAGGTGGTCTGACCTAATTATATATTTGAAAAAAGTAAATAACGGAATATGATGCAAACGTGAAAAAGCTCATAAATAACAAATGTGACAATAAAATATGATAAAGTCTAGTGTACAGTTTATAGGAGAAGCAGTTTACCTTTAAATTCTCATACTTATTATTACTACTAAGTCACTTATTGCTGACAAAACAGTCTAAAAATATGAGACCTAGCAAGTAGCAATAAAGAAACACGGTAAAACGCAAAAATGATTGGTAGGATAGAAATTTAAAACAGTCAGAACAAATTAATATTATTGATGGATAGTGGCTAGCAGTGGAATCCAGGACGCACATTTTGTCCCGTCTGGGACTCACTCCCAGTAAGCGAAGCTGATCACATTAAGACTAGAACCCTGGACCTATTACCACAGCGTTATCCATTAGGCCACTGAGTCACGATAGCCACTTCTTGTGCGATGGGTATAGTATACTAGTGGAAACAAATGTTTGTTAAAATCGCATATAGGCGATTAAGTAGACAGTTGAAAGTAAGAAAAGTAATGTTTCTATAACCAGCTGACCAATAACAGAGACTGAGATTGACGTTTAACATATGGTATGCAGACATGATCTATTAATCAATCACTGTTTACGTCACCTACGCTCATAAAGACTTGGAAATTTCCACATATTTTCGGTCAATAAATTGTTTATGAGATCGAGTCACTTTAGTGTGTTAGATGGCGTGACGAATTTATTGTGAGGATCAGCTTCGAACGCAGCAACTAACAAAAATGCTGTGATAAAGATACAAAGAAAACTTTGTAAAAGCTAATTCTGGAGTAAATGGGAAAGTCTTTTCCGTTTGTAGGAAAATTAAAACCCAATAAAGTCAACAAAATTAATGAAGATGAATATTAAAGCTTGAAGATTTGAGGCTGAAGAATGGAGAAAAACTTAGAACTTCTCCTTTTTAACGTTTCACATTGTAGTGAAGTGGTGGAATAGATTCATTTGGTACTCTGAGTGATTACATCATATGAACACACTTCATTACAACAGGTCTATATTCATCAGCTTTTAGTGCCGCAAGTTCGAAAAAATAAACAGAAGTAAGAACTCTAAACCGATTGCATCCCCTGTGACGTTTACCTTCATCTTGGATAAACTATCTGATAAGTAATCAATAACTCAGAGTCATGTTATTTTGGCTTTACTGCAGTTTTAATTCATTAAAAAATGTTCATGGTATAGCATGTAACTCATCGGTCCAGTTCACGTTTGTGAACTAGGTTATGAACCACACTTATTGCGAGGGTTAATGATACTAACTAGTTGAAGGAGTCGAAAATTGAGTGGTGCACCATGAACATAAGGTTCGTCATTTCAAAGTTGCATGCTTATTCACTGGGTAGCAGGTTCATCTATAGGACAATTGCTCCAGTTTTCAGCACTGATGCAGTTTACATTACTGGTTAGTTTGGAAATCCAAATATGCGATCACTTCAAACGTCAGCTGGTTACTTCAGCATTTGATAAATCAAAACTAAGTAAACTCAAACTCCATCTATTCGAAAATTACCTCGTCATGTTACGTTAGTGGTGGCATGAGGAAACTTGTCTGAAAGTGCTTCAGGTAACTGTCGTTCACCACAGCACTTCAATTCTTTAATATTTCAATGGATCAGAAAATTCAGAACTCAACTTTTTCAAACAGTCATTCAGTGTTGGCACTGTAGCAACAATATGCTATTAAAAAAAGATGCAATAACAGTAAAATATCGCATACTATCAGTGGACAGGTTTTAAACTTCATCGCAATCACACAAAAATTCGCTACATGTTAGTTGTTGGAGGCAACCGGCAGGAAGCCTTGTATCTAGGTTTCGTGTTTGTTGGCACTCGTCAGCAAGGCATACTTGCAACCACAACGGAACTGATGTCCCGCCTGATATTCGAACCCGCGTCGTCCAGTGCTGCAGTCAGCGACTTTACCACTGAGCTATTCGGGATGCGATTGACCTCCCATAGGACTGGGTTACATGTATTGATTGGTCACGGGAGAGCAGGCTAGACATTAGTTCCATCGAAGTTGCAGATACGCCTTTCCGACAAGTACCAACAAGCATGAAACCTAGGTTCAGGGCATTCTGCTGACTGCTTCAAACCAACTAATATCTACTAATGTGCACAGCGATGCTGAACTTCCTAGCTTGGTTGTCACATTTCAAATATGATCGATATATTTCGGTGAATGCTCAGAACTAGATAAAGTGAAATTGGTTGCTCTCCAGTGACTAATCAATACACACTTCGCTATAATAAATGCATGAAAAATTATTTTTCACAGTGACAGCAGTATATGGCAGAAAAACACACTGTTTTTCGTAGGAAAGACCGACAACACGAAAGTCACACTTAGCGAGACAATTAAACTTCGGTAGTGTAGCTGAAAGTTAGTTCGTATCAACATTGAACCTGATATTATTGCATAACGGTCTAAGTTCCCATATCAGAACATCAAGTGAGAAGGTACTAATATAAAAGATAAAGAAACAAAACAATAAAATAGTCAGGTGGTAGAAAGTTGTCAAAAGAGAGCAAGGTGAAAGAGACAATACTACGATTCAATATGACAATTATGATGAAGATAAGATGTGGATACATTTTAGCCATCGAGATCGATCCAGAGCCATTTCACATGGACCCCATCAAGGAAGTCTTCATCACCCAACACAGGTCAGATGAAGTCAGATTTTGTGAACTCATGTCATGTCTTAGTCTGGCCACCTCCAACCTCATTTCAGCCCGAACCTACTTCAGTTAACATTGTGCGACGAGGCAAACAGTGACCAAGAATGCGTAACACATGTCTCTACCACCTGAATCGATGAAGGTTCACAACCTCACCAACTCGCCTACTGCTTCTGCCCACATCTCCACGCCCCACTTCTGCATTACTGATAGGGTGACCACAACACAGCCTATTCAACGAAGGCGACTGTAGTTGGACATTTGAAGCGTTATCATGACCTTTACCTTAAATGGCCATGTTTCACAGTCATGTAGTAGAACAGAGTGAACTGCAGCGCAGTAAACCCGAATCTTTATAGATAATCGGATACTGTGGCGACGTCATAAATGGTGTAAGTTGGCGAGGACTGTACAGAGATTTAGTGGAGCACCGACACACCAACGCTCGGTGCTGATCCGATTCCTCAGGTAAGTAAAGTGGTCAATGAAGTCAACCATTTCACTCCCCATTGATAAACAAGGCACTAGTGGAGACGAGTCCTGGAGCAACAATTTTCACTTGGGCGGTGAGAAACACATCCCAAACTGCCACTCAATGTGTCATTAGAAGCAGTTTAAAAAAAATAAAGAGGTTCAATGTCAAGTGCCTAGACCAGTGAGCAACAATAAGTTGTGTTCAGGAGAATGGATTTTCTTCATGAGTTGTTTATGGCAACAAATTTTCATAATCCCCATCTTGCTTTCTATAACTGACCATAGATGCACCAATCTAGACGGAATAACAAGAAAATTAAACCCCAATTTCAATGTATTAATTATGCCAAAGAGGTTTACCACTGGTTTTACCTCCACAATACGACATATAAGTTCCTAAGGCTACAGGGAAAAAGAAACGAGTGAAAGACATGGTAGAAATTTAATGATGTCTAGGCTCACGTGAAATGTAACCTCAATGAGAAACTTAAATGTAGACAATCTGTTATAATCTGCTGTCAAAAACTGTTAAGATAAACCACATACGATTGACAGTACTAAAGCAAACTTTTGCAGTATACTGTTTAACGATCAATGACTATCAAATTTTACCGGAAACAAATTTTTTAAAAAAAACCCTACCCAAACCCATACTCGACATTCCTACAAACAACAATAATTTAACTTTTAGTCATACATGGTAATAATTTTAAACACATGCAGGTAGACCAGGTTTCTTTAAATGGAGACAATTATAAGAAACATACTTCTTGTTTTAAGCGTTTCTCCAAATCTTCAACGGTTTTCAGGCAAAATGCCGCCGTCACAAGTACGACACATACCCTGTGGATTTCATCCTTAGTCAGTCGAACTCCCTGATAAGCAAGAACAGAAGAAAAAGAATGATCAAAAATCATACACTCAAAAAAGGACGACATTAGGAAGTTAAATCTCACAAAGAAAACGTAATGAATGCCAAACAAATCAAGAGGGTGAAAAGGTATTCGCGACATCAACTCATCAACAACGGACTGTAGACAGAAACAGACACACAAACATTATCAATAGAGAAGCTTGCATAGAAGTGAATTAGTTCAAGTTGCCACACTTCATAGCAGTATGCAAACAACAAGTGGATACAAAAAGGCTGATATCAAAGTAGACGAAGAGGTATACGAGGAAAAACGAATTTAAAGACCAAGGTTAGTGGAAATGTTTAAACTTCGGAAAACTTCAAAGAGTGAGTGTATCTGCACCATTACGGTCGATTTTCAGCCATATCAAACCATTGATTCCTATCGTCTCAACGACCCCGACCAAGCAGTCTACACCTCCCTACATAGCTCGGACCAACAGTCAGAGACTTCATGAACTGGTGCCACATCTTGATCTGACCACCCTTAGTCTTCTTCCAACCCAAACCTACTTCACGCTAAAGTCCAGGTGAAAGGATCATCAATTTGTACTAGTCTGATAGGTCCACCTTTGATTTCGTTTCCACACTATCACTTATGCATAGCTGAAGCACTAGCAATACATGAACAAAAACCGAAACTTTGCATTCATAAATATTTTGTGAAACAACTTTCCCTACCTTAACAATTCATTTTGTTTATTTTATCGATTTCATTTCACTTCACTTTGGTATACTTTTCTTTCATTATCGTCACCAATCTTCCCTGCATTGACAACATTTGACCCATATTTCCCGATTTAATATCAATTTGTTCCTTATTCATTGACCTATTATGCATGCTTCAGTAAAATTATCATCGTTTCACAATTCTTTGACAGCATGTATCTCCTATCTCACCACTTGTTATCAATTCGTTTCTTATTTAGTGACCCATTTTCTATTTCTTCCACTTCAACAAATACCATCACCACCAACTGCTGTAAATTTCGCACATTGACTGAGCAACTTTCCAGTGCAATTATCTGCTATTTTATAGGGTATAAATACGACTGTACAGGTTGATAATGAAGTCGTTGAAAAGAAATATTTCTTCACTGATCCATGTTTTGTTCTTACTCATGAATAAATGGGCATATTTCGAAAGTTGTGCGAGATGATAGAGAATTTGAAAATAAAGGCTAGTGCTAATACTAAAGCTTCAGAAGACGTCAATGAGTGAATACATCTGCTCCATTGTGACCGATTTTTAGCCACGTCAAGAAGACTCCTCAAACACTGATTCTTATAGTCTCGGGGACTCCAGCCGGATAGTTTACATCTCCCAACACAGCTCTAACCAAAAGACTTCATCGACATGTGGCACGTTTTAGTCTGGTCACCATGACCCTAATCCAAATCCACCTAGCATGGCATGTCGAGGTAGGTGGTGGCTCTGCATATGCAGTAGAAGTCCAAGCCACCTCAGTCGACGATGGTTCATAACCTCATTAATCGACCTGGCTTCCTTGCCTTAGTACCCTTCGCCTGACCTAAACACTGCTCACACAGTGATCCCACCAAACAAGAGGAATCCTACGAAGACACCTGTGATCGAAAACGTGTAACCACTTTGCATCTTATACTTTTGGCGGGAATGTTACTCAGCTGTATAACAGAACAGAACGGACTGCAACGGAGTATACTTGTCCTTTTAGAGGTAGTTGGATATCTTACTAGAGCTGATGCAAGGTAGCATTTGCCGAAAGGACCATCAGTATGTCGTCAGCAACCAACCCGTTAGCGTTGCAGTAACACCCTAAGTAAGTAAAACAGTCGGCGCATACCATCCCTTCACCCTCTATTCTTTAATCAGGATTTGTTGCAGACCAGGCCCGGAGCATCATCTTACATGTGAAAGATACAAAACGCAACTCAGGCATAATCAGATTCCGGCTCAAGGTGTTCAGGAGACTGTCCACAGGGTCAGTGTCTTCAACTAAGGAACAATATTGTCTGCATACTACAAGTCAACCATATGCGCTTCAGGGACTCGATCAACCCCTATGAAGTCAAGGGTGCTTCTAACGAAGTTGAACAGTCTACCACAGGCATCACTAGTTGTCGTCAATTCTGATGACAACTTCTCCAGTGTAAGAAATATAGAAGTGTCGGCCACCAGTAAGTAAGTCTATGTTCAACAACCTGTTGAATAGTGAGAGCTCAACAGATGTATCCTCGTCCATCACTACCTGAAACCTGCCAAGATTTCGCGAGGTCCAAAGACGCAATGGAATGATATGGACACCAAAATCCTGGACACAGTATTAGTCAAACTAATTCCCCCATGATTGTCACAGGAAGATTTATCTCCTCTCCTGTAGACAGGGATGCTCAGTAAATTAGACCAGTCTCATAAAACCACCTCTCATTCCCATACACTACGCATTACCTCTATCATTCTTATCAGCTATTACCTACCTTCATTCGTGAAAACTTCAGGGAGCAAACAGTCAGATCCGTGCTCTTTGCATCGTTTCACAGGGTTGGTACACCCATCTCAAATTTAAAGAGTTAGAGGACTAACATATACGTCCCATTCAGGATCCGTCTCAATGCTAAAACGTTGTTCATGGTCGGCTGAACTGTGCTTTAAAGTGCTCTGCCCGACGTTCTGGCAGTCTGTTCTCAGACATTGTCAGGGTCTCTGGGATAATTCCTTCAAGAGTGTGGTTGTTTACATTGCATTTTTGCGTCTAGTTGTACCCCCAACAATCAATATTGTTAACTTACAAATCGGCTGTGAAATAAAAGTTCTTTTCTCATGTGAACTATTTTTGTAACAAATGGAGCTATAAAAAAAGTATGATGCCGTTCGTTATCTAAATGCATCTCAGAATTGCTTCAAGTGACTTGATTCAGTAGCTATCCACATTCAGTCTGATTGAAAGAAATGGAAGTCGACCATGTCGAATTGAAACGCACTCAGCAACCACTCGAACATTTGTGGTCTAGGCAATGAATCATTCCTATTGTGTGCAGGCTAGTGATACATAATATATCCCCGCTGCCTAAAACCCGACAGGTGGAGCGCGATTCAAACCAGTGAGTGACCTATTGGTTGGAAGTTGATTGCCTAGAACAATGAGTCTCAGCTCCACAGTGTACACATACACATAACTTGATGGTTGCAGGTCGATTGAGGACATGAGACTCATTTCAAACTTGTCTCATTGTGTATTGTGGTGTATGGGTAATGCATTCAGCGTTCTGATACTGTTGCCGCGGGAGACGGATCAACGAATAGAAAATGCTAATCGCATTCCTCCTACTTATGGCAAAATCCACCTCGTAAATATCTAAACTACGGGTAGTTTTTCTCATATAAATAATCTGTTGTTTTTAGCGAGAATAATTCCGTGTCAAATTATTTTATCTCATGTGAAGTTTTCACATGAATGTTACGTGATGCACTAGTACTATAGTGTCAAGTTGACTGGACAGTTGTTGGTGTTATGGAACTAAGGATATTTACGAGTGCTTGGTGAGCCCTGACACGGTCAGTACGGCTCAGTGACTAGTTCATAAATCGGTAACAGGTTGTATCACACTGGATTTTTTTTATTAATTATGAACATATATTAATCTCGTTAATAAACAACCCTTACCTGGATGTCATCTCGGAGTAAATTGGTAATCACCTGATTAGTTGATGAAGTCATCAGTTCACTTTGTGCAGAACTGCTTTTACTCTGAGCTTTAATGTTTTCTAAGGCAGCACCAATCCCCGTTTGACCACGACCAAGTCCTAACATACGTAATGTGTGAGGCAGGACATAATTAACTTACCGAGAGCTGATAAACTGCTCAGTCCGAATGCAGCCATCTTCGCTGCTACATCTGGTGCAGATAAGCCCATACCATTGCCACTGTTACTGGTAAACACTAGGCCAGGGATTTGAGCCAAAAGTACACGGACAGTGTATTCAGAGAGATACTGTCGTAATAAACGCACAAGTCCCAACAAACCACGACCACGATTAACTGAAGCGTTTGCTTCAGTATTTGCTTGTAGAACAAAAACAGATCAGTAGCAGAGTACAGAGTGTTCTCACTGGGATCACTCGGACTCATCTTGTTCTGTATAGTGTCGAACGGGTTGTCTAAAAGTGAAAACAATTAGCTTTAGTACAGAGGAAGTTTACTCAACGTGAACAAGTTGCATACTAAATCCACTCTAGTCAACAAATATTTCCAGTGACACATGTGTGTTTTTGAAGCAGAATACAACTGGTGGAAAATATTCACTGACAAGTTTCGTCAGTGTTGGGTTCAATTCTGAGCAAATATTCGCAGAATTTGGAAAAACACTTCATTCAATTCAAACCTGGTGAAATCCTCATTATAAACAGTTTAAACTGAATAGCATTTGCTGAATCTACACTTGATTTCATTGAAAAGCAGAAATAAATAAATCATTTATGAAGGTGATTGGGAAATTCAATCACGTGAAATAAGCAGTACAATACAACCATACCCGAGACTTCGCCAGCAAAGCAGATAATGAATGAAGGAGACAAGTCAAGTAAGGAACTTAGTCTAAGGCAATAGCTGTGAATTTGACAAGAAGAAAGCTAGTGGAACTACAATTTTTGTTGAAAGACTAACGTAGACCTCATCCGAACAACTCACGTGCACGGCAGTGTACACTGAATTTGAAGAAATCGACTATTTTCTTCGCTCAAGACACAGTAACTATCAAGCTCCACAGACAGTCAAAAGCAAAATAAGTTGGGTAATTCACTGAGAGAAAAAAAGGTCAATCGATGAAGGAAATTCTTATTCGTGACGATTTTATTTCACAGAGCTGCACACCTGCATTTATGTTCATAACAAACGTACAACAGTCTATCTTCAGTAACAGGGTGGTATCGTCATTCACACAGTTTCTGGAAGAGATACATGAATGATACATTTATCATGTGGTGAAAATGTGGATGCTGCAGAGGCAATACTTGGAAAGATCAGTAATTGTCATCACCTGAGAACTCAAAAGTGGCTAAGAATTTCTTACCAAGATATTCTGTCGAACACAGGTTGGGCGGCTTGCTCCAAAGATCAAACTACAGGAAGTCATCATGCACTGGGCAACAAACAAGTTTTTATAGCCACATTGCAGCTGTTAATCCATGTGTAATGATGAACAAGAGCAACGCCCCACCCCTATCACAGGAGAGCGAATGCGGACTCCAGTTTGGGATGCAACCTGTGACAGATGATGTTCGATTTCATGGTTCCTCAGAAGTTTTTATTAACTCTTCAGTTTCTTCCAGGGATGAGGGATGTTCGTGTTCGGATATCGAACGCAACTTTATTTTCTACCTTGTCGCCTTACATCACGGAATAATGCGTTCTTCTAAGGATATGGTGTACAGGAGTTCACGACTGATTTGACTTCTGGAGACAAATAGTTGCAAATCTAGCCAAATTTCATTGGTATTTACCCCTTCACTCTCGAAGCCAAATTAGAGAATTCTGTGCAGCCGAACACTAAAAGATGCACCACGGAGGATCAACTGAAATGGTATATCAGCTTCTGCTCGAACCCGACAGACTGAATATTTAGTTATTCGAAGAGTCTACGTTGTCTCAGCCCAACAGTCTCTGTACCACTGAAATGTAGTTGAATAACAACCAGTTCCCTTCATACAATATCTAGGCTGGTCAACTCATTTCATTCATACAAGTAAATGGAAGCGACGAATCTCAATGCAATCGAAATCTGTAATAGGAGAAGGTGTTTACTGGCTTACAATGCGAGCTCCTGAATTCGTCAACTGCGATTGCACGGCTTTCCTCAACTTTATTTTCCCGCTAAATCACTGCATGTTATAATCACTGCACTTTTATTTTCCAGAAAGAGCAATTGTATATAAGTTGTTTAACTCCTTCGTTGGTAAGCTGAAATTGGTAGCCGCTTTCTCAATCCCTTTCTAATCTGATAGGCGTCCTCTTGGGAACATTATACTTGCAAAACTAAACTTCCTGTATACCTGTCCACATACACTTCCACTTATACCCAGTCCAATTCGCATTCTTTACCATCAAAGAGTGAATACACTGGGTCAATGCGATTGATTTTCAGCCATTCTCTCAAGAATCAGATTACATGGAGTGGTTTCACGTCTTGGTGTATCCAACCTGAATCCTCTTCCCACATAATCTAAATTCCCTGGTATTGCATGTCAAGGTATGTGGTGGTGTGGTGTGCGCAGTACGTGTCGAAGCCAGATCAATCGATGAAGGTTCACAACTTCACTGATTTAATTGCTTGTCTTGCCTAGTACCCTTTGCCTGACGTCAACATTGCACACACGGTGATGCCACCGAACAGAAGCAATGCTGTGAAGATATGTGTGGTTAATGGCGTGTAACAGCGTCATAACATCTACTTTCAACGGTGTATCACAGCCGCATAACAGGACACAGCGGACTGCAAATTAGTTAGCTCTTCCGCTGATAGGTAGTCAAATGTCTCAATAGAACTTCAAAATCAAAATTAAAATGAGTTTCAACGCGGTTGAAGGGTAACCTATTTTAAGATCACATGAACTAGTGGCAAACAATATCAAACAGTTCTTAATTAACTTCCTCAGTCACCGTCTGACACATTCCACAACTTCATTTCCAATGATTAAACTGGGAGTTGTTGCAGACCATTGCTAAAGTATCGTCTCACATATGTCAGGTGCCAGTGAGACGCATATTTAACATACTCACATTTCTGCTCAACTCACAGAGAAGATTTTGAATATTTTCAGCTTCGTCACCCATCAGGACGATATTGTCCGCACATCCCAAGTCAACCAGATGACCTCCAGAGAGTAAATTAATCCCTTTGACGTCAAAGATATCCAATGTTATGTCCATTAGTACGTCTATATCGCAGTTAACTAGGAATGGTAACAGTGGGGATCCCTGCAGAACACCGCCGTTTGTCGTAAATTCCGATGGCAAGTCTCCATAAGCCCTGAGACGGCTGTGTGACGGTCGACAGAGTCAAATGTCGCCTTCTGGACAAGAAATATAACAAATGACGGTCACTGGCAGGTGGATATGCCTGTTCCAGGACCTGTGGGAGGGTGGAAAAATTATTGATGCGCCCTCGTCCAGCTCTGTCGGAAACCTGTTTGGTTTCTTCCAGTTTGTTGTTCTTAAGGTACATATAGGCGTCGAATAACCATTCAATCTAGGATCCTGGACACAATATTAGTCGAACTAATTCCCCCATGATTGTCACAGGAAGATTTATCTCCTCTCCTGTAGACAGGGATGCTCAGTAAATTAGACCAGTCTCATAAAACCACCTCTCATTCCCATACACTACGCATTACCTCTATCATTCTTATCAGCTATTACCTACCTTCATTCGTGAAAACTTCAGGGGAGCAAACAGTCAGATCCGTGCTCTTTGCATCGTTTCACAGGGTTGGTACACCCATCTCAACTTCAAAGAGAGCTAGAGGACCGATGTATACGTCTCATTCAGGTTCACGCTGGGTGTGGGGAAACTGAAACGTCGCTGTGGGCCAGCTGAACTGAGGTTAAAAGTGTTCTATACGTTGTTCTGAAAGGTTAGCAGCGTCTCATCCTTCTAGGTGATGGTCTCACTCATCAACGCCTGCTTCACGCCAGTATCCCTAGTACGCGTAAGTAGTTGCTGAGATTTATAAACGCTGATGCCTTCTCCATCTCTCTCATTCATGCCACTCACCAATGCTCTCGATCGACACCAACACTCTTGTCAACTTACGCCCAGGATGTTTTCACTGTTCCCCATGGTCAGAGCCCGCTAGAAACAGTCTTCCAGCATCAATCAGTTCAGATGACTTTGCAGAAGTCGAACGATGGTTGATAACCTCCGGGTGTAGACTATCACCTGACTTTGCCGCTTTTATAAACTTCAGGATGAAAATATGACCTGTGAGAATTGAATAAGTTAGGGATTGGGTAAATGAAAATCGACTGTTTAAACGGACCACTTGCTATTTAAACAGCCGATAACTTGTGCAGATTTTATTCTCTGATGAAGGGATTTTCACGAACGTGCAAAACGTGACAAATTAACTTTATATTTCATTGGGATTTTATAAACATATTTCATTTATGTATCTACCTCTGTTTCTACAACAGACTCAACACATTGCCAGGTTTCCTCAGCATAAACATCGTGATCATGTTAAGATAAATGTCTGATACCATTCCCCTAAACGCAGACTTCACATTTTCATCTTACAATCGACTGTAGCCAGGCTTTACTATCACTTATTTCCTGCAACTAGTAAGGAGCATACATACACGAGCCCCTACTAACGCGTGATCACAGTCCAAACTGGTACTCCAGAAAGAACAGCAATCCTCCACCGATCCTCTACAACTATAGCATATAGCGTTGTGATATTTCTGTATCCATCGTCAGTTTGACGTCAGCGAACGCCATGTGAGACAGTATCTCTCCTTATGCCGAAAGTTAGTGCCGACCAGAAACAAGTGGTTATCAACAAAAAAATATCAGCAGATGACCATCGTTGTTAGCTCGTAGGTACAGTAACCTTCTATCATAACCATATCTGAGCGTTTCACTTTCTGCAGCAAAGTTGACAGCTTCTCATGGAATTCATTCCTGGCATCATCAGAACTGCAGTCAGTGGGTGCGTAGGTCGAGATTACGAATAGGCATCAGTTGGTCTCACCATCCTTTCTAGTCCTGACAGATTCATTGAGTACAACGGCACATAAACGGCTGTTGACTGGTATCCAGTCGGAAAGCGCACTTTCGTCCTACAAATCAATGCTTCGCCTACACACTAGGGAGTCTAGGACAGCCAACCACCACTGGGTCTCCGGATACCCGTAAGGTGAATTTCGGAAATTCACCCCACTGGTCAGGTGGAGTTAATTTAATAACCATACCCAGGTCTTATATGCGTGTATCAGAGACAGTATGTACCCATGGCTAGAGACTCCGGAGTTTCGGTGAGCGATGCTTGCTGTCAGGTTAGAAATAGAGTTCTGACGTTGAAATCTCCTACATGAGATAGATGGAGGGGTTCAGAAGACTAGGAGTGAGGCTTCAATGGCTTTGATTGTTCGCAATGGTCGCAGAATAAGAGGTTTGGGAAGGTGTGAGGGGCTTAACATTGGCATCAGGAGGTGAGAGCAAAGTACGAGACAAAGTTGAGGGAGATAGGTTATGTTTGGTTGAGTCGTGTGTACTACTGGGAGCGTCAGCGCAGTTGACACTTCCCGGCTGCTCACACCACAAAACGATATTTCTTCCCAAGGTGCCTGAAACAGAAAAAGACTTGTGTGACCACAGAGCCCATAGGATATTTACTTGAGGTCTGTCACACACAACCTTCTGAAGGCTGTTGTTTTGAGGTTCGGTTGTTCTGACGCCGGATAGAGAAAACCCATATCACCGGCATTGGAAGACCGTAGTGCAGGGGAGAGTGTTTTATTTCGGGGGCCGACCTTTTACTACTCACTCTTCCTGTTGGAAAGTCAGCGCCAGCATGGCACTGCTGGTCATCCAAGGGAAACACCTTACTGCTATCATAACCTATCCAGCCAGTAGTACAATTTCGCCCTCAACCATCCCCCCATCATGGTCTAGTAATTTGCACTACAACGGTAATTGTTTTTCGTCTTACTACTATCCAACAGACTTTCCTGGCATGGTAGGACGTCGAGGTAACAAAGGGTTTCAGGTAGTGTAGTTTACTGGGTCATTTTGACATCCAAGCCGGACCACCACATCAAGGTAGCAAGCTATCGACCGGGGTTACCTAACAGCAAGGTAGTAACTTTTCAGTACACAAATCACGCCTATTTAGTTTTCCCAGTGTCTATCGACAAAAAAACAACTGATGAAGCGAATCACACTTGTAGCTGTAGAATTGGGAATACTATTCATCGAATACAGTTGAATTTATGTGAGGAAAAACGCGTGTGCTTACTTCAAAAACGACGTATCAGGTGTCGGCATTCCTTTCAAGAGATTATGAAATTATAGCACAAGTGCGGAAAGAAAGGGAAATATAAAACCATCCATAAAACACTTCATAAGATAAAGTGTTGTTCCACCAACATATAACATTACCCTCTTTGAAAACATCTCCAAGTTCCCGATTCTCTAAGCTGGATTTATTGACTGTGAAATCACCAATCAAACGATTCGTCATTTGCTCTCGTAATGCCTTATCCACATGAACCAAATAAAGATCAAAGTATTGTTCAAAACAGCTAAAACATAAGTACATATAGTGAAATGCAATATGAAAGTGTTCCATATATTGGATTTTACTGAACAAAGTAAAGCACACAAAAAAGCATTTATGGAATAGACACAAATGTTGGTTTGTGAACAATATAATATGCAACCACATTTCCAGGAAATCCGTAGAACTATGACACACTACTTAATGGAATCAACTGTAAGATCAGCAACAGCAACACGGTAGACATTATGCTAAAAATAAAATACTGCTCACGTTACAACAGAACTTTATCAAATGTTTGTTGTCTGGCGAAATCCTATAAAAGACAGACCGTATTCAATAGTTATCTTCCTATAGAAAACAGCATAACATAACAGAAAGCCAAATTAACCCATTGAAGAAGCAATTGACATCCACAGAAATCACAGAAATTCGAGGAATACTTTATACGAAATTCAAAAAGCATTCTCAAAAGTGTGTTTCAGTGTTGAAAGTTCGGAGTCGAATCAGCAGGAAGCCCTGCTTGAAGAGATTTAGTACTTATTGGCACTCATTCGCAAGGAGAATCAGTAACTACGAGGAAAGTAGAGTCCCATCGATGATTCGACCTTGTGTGACTCAGTCTGAGCGAGAGACTTCATTACTAAGCTAAGTATGCCACGACTGACCCCTGTAAGACTGGATTATGTACACGAATTGAAAGACAAGTGAACAGTTACTTTATAATCATCATATATGTATGGCTAGTCAGAGAAAAGGTTTCTAGAGTTTAACATCTTATAGGTTTAGCAGTGCTTTTATTCTTTTAAAATGATAGCTGGTCTGAGTGCTTGTGGCCAGATGGTGTTCAAACAGGTTGATAAACCGGTGTTAATAAAAGGCTGCTATACTTTACATGTCTCTCAAAGTATCAAAAAATTCACCCGCATTATCGAAGGTAGATAGTCCTGCAATCTTGAGAATACAAAACATCCTAGCATCTCAAATTAATCAACTGTGACAGCACAACTTGAAGATTCAGAAGTGTCTAAAACATTTCAAGCTTTTGTGCTCAATTAGATGGTTAATTCAGTTCATTTGAGAAATGTGGTTAAAAAAGCTGTCTGAAAGTGCATTGTTTGCACTAGACTATAAGCAATTAAAATCCTATACGATGAAAAACTTCTAAATTAAAACTGTATATTCAAAGAATTTAAGAGGAATTCGAATATATTTCAGGTGAGTTTTATATTAAGATAATGATCCATCAGAGAGGGAGTGGATACAATCTATTTCACATGAAATTTCCCTTGAAAAGCCCTAGGTTTGTTTTAACTCTGTCTACCCACCTAACAACTTTTCAGACATTCAGTCGTAGATGGAGCGAAGGGGAATTCGTAAGACATTGATATATAAAACTTCACAAATAAATATACCTTCCCTTACAAACTCAGTTACTTTATCACTGATAATTTTAAGCTCTTTGAACTATAAGCCTAATGCAAATTGTATACTAAATATAACTCACAATAACTCACACTGCGGTGTGACTTTTCCAGTGGTGAAGACAGTATTTAATGCTTCAGCTTGATATAAAATTGTGTTAAAGACGACTAAATCCATAGTTTTCCTACTGATTTATGTCTGTTATTTTAAATCGCTGCGCTCAGACCCTTTTCACCTATGCAGGTTACAATGACTGTTAAATCTTTAAATGTACTAATTACCACTTGGTGCGGTGGTCACACTACTATAACACAATGACCCAACGAGATATGCAGGTGAAACGCTTGTTACCTCGAGACTCAACCGTACCAGAAAGGCCATCTGCACAAGTGACAAAACAAAAAGCGTAATTACGCTATCGGAAAACAAAAGACATTTACCATTATAGTGTAAATTTTTACGCCATGATGGAGGTCTGACGGCTAATCCATAATCCTGACTTGACAAAGGTGTGCAAGCAGTAAGACGTTTCCCATAGATGATCAGCAGTGCCATGTTGATGTTGTCTACCCTATGAGAGGACAGGGTTAGAAAACGTCCACCCTTAAAATAACACACATCTACTCAACAGCATATCGATCCAGGAGACATGGATCCATAGTCGGAGTCAAAACTGGTAATCATAAACCTCAAAATTCTAAGAACGCCATGTGTGAACGGCCTCAAGTAGATGTTTCATAGGCTCTGCAGTCACACATCCTCACAACTCCGTCAGAACTCAAGTTTTCTTAACTCATCATCAACCTTCCAATTACTGATTGGTCACTGGACAGCAACCAATATCATGTTGTCAAGTTCAGTATGTTAACCGAATTCTATCGATCATGTTCTCAATCGCGCCATCAAGCTAGCACGCCCAGCATCGCGGTGCACATTAGTAGGTGTTAGTCGGTCGGAGGTCGATTCCCTCTAACCAACTTACAATCGTATGATCTTCCTTCATTTCTATACATCAAGATTCTTACATCGTTTTTCTTCCAGCTCTGCAGCTCTCGATAACAATTTTAGTTCACGGAACCACATCCTTGGTTTCCAGAAGCCAATCTCTAAACTACAGATTGGATCTAACAGTGTCCATACCCTTCGTCAAGTTGGCCAACACACCCCTATAGCCAAAACTCTGACATCTAGAACTATGGATGTGTGCTGTTTGTGGGACACACATGCAGGAACCATGTGAGGTTATTCACATAACCTTACTCCGCCAATAAGATGAATCCACAAAATTCATCCTTCCACTTTCTGGAGATTTGAAGGCTAGTTCTCGTGTTTTGCAGGAGCAGTTACATTACTTAGCCCTAAGAAAGACTGCTCAACTGGATCCCAGATGATAGTCATCCATGCACTGTTTGACTGAACGACACAACGTCTCAAAAAAGCAGTGGAACTCGACGGTGTCTCGTTGCAATCTCCACTTATTGACCGCAATTCAGATGAAGTGAAGCATGAGCTCTACCGAAAACTATCTAGTCTTGCACTGAAAGTCAAACTTTCATACGTGGTTGTTGTAGCTGGTAATTTCAATGCACAAGTGAGTAGGCCTAGCTGGGCAGAAAGGCACTTAAACGGAACTTTCAAAATCCCAGCCGCACGAGCAAATAACGGCGTTCGCCAGCTACGACTGTGATCAAACAACCATTTATTTCCATCAGCATGACCACTGCGAATGCTGCAACAAAAACAAGAATACCAAAGCTGCTTTCAGCGAGAAACTGGCTGGACAGTAACCATGGTAAGCGCAGAACACCACTAATTCAGAAGAAACTCAGTGCCTTAGCCAACCATGAACAAAACAGTCAGCCCCCACGAAGTAGTTAAAAAGACTCAATGGATCACGGCAGCTTTTTCTGAGTTAGTTAATGCAACCCCATGCATTCTTTCAGGTTCTGAACACAATGACGGGCGGAAACAAGTACAATGAAGGGGAGAGCGAACACTGTGAGAAGTGCCAGACAGAGAAGCCTGAAGAGATAGAGAAAGCAGAAGTGACAGCTAACAGTAAGCGAAAAAGCCGATGGCAAGAGACATTTAACCGGAGACGGAAACGTCCACAAATCACTTGCAGGATGCAGACTAAGACGGTAGGCTGGGCACATCAAACAAATGTTCAACTGACCTCCAGCTGCTACTATTCCGTTACCCGCTATCTAGTTGGATCCTGAGTGGAACATCGACATAGGACCCCCAACACTAACTGAAGTTTAGGAAACTGTGAGAAATCTGAATTGAGATATTGCAGTAAAGTTAGGCAGACTAGTACCGAAGGTATTTAACGATAGTAGTAAAGGGTAGTTGATCAAATTAGATTGTGTGTGCGAGTCAGATGTAGTCCCGTCTGACTGATCTCAATCACCGATTGTTATCGTCTTCAAGAGAGATAAGAGGTCATCTTGCAATATCCACAGGCGAGTCAGTCTGATAAGCATATTGTTTAAGACCCTGATTTCTATGTTCATTGGACGTCAGAAGCAGAGAACAAGGGACGTGTCCAACCAACCCAACCCTCTATTAGTTCCTTAAACATGGTCCCACCAGCCGACGCCAAACATTAGCTATATTTCCTGACCTGAAAACGCCACTCGACTATGCTGATCGAGAGTTTTCACGGTAGCATCCCTCACCGAAACACCTAGTGAGTACGTGTACATCACATCACTCTATATCCGTACATTCGTATCAGCCCACGGTGAGTTATGGGTTTCGAGTGGTGTCTGTCAAAGATGTCCACTCTCTCCACTCTCGATTCATATTCTACTTTATCAAATACGTACTTACAGAGGTTTCGCCCTCGCTGTCTGATTTTATAAGGGTTGCTATGGTCACAGAGACATCTTTAGCAGATGACATAGTTCTCTTAGTTGAAAACACTGACAAGATGCAGAGTGTTCTGTAAACCCAGAGTAGTAGTTGGGGAATATTTGGGAAGTGTTTCTCACCGCCCAAGTGAAAATTGTTGCTCCAGGACTCGTCTCCACTAGTGCCTTGTTTATCAATGGGGAGTGAAATGGTTGACTTCATTGACCACTTTACTTACCTGAGGAATCGGATCAGCACCGAGCGTTGGTGTGTCGGTGCTCCACTAAATCTCTGTACAGTCCTCGCCAACTTACACCATTTATAACGTCACCACAGTATCCGATTACCTATAAAGATTCGGGTTTACTGCGCTGCAGTTCACTCTGTTCTACTACATGACTGTGAAACATGGCCATTTAAGGTAAAGGTCATGATAACGCTTCAAATGTCCAACTACAGTCGCCTTCGTTGAATAGGCTGTGTTGTGGTCACCCTATCAGTAATGCAGAAGTGGGGCGTGGAGATGTGGGCAGAAGCAGTAGGCGAGTTGGTGAGGTTGTGAACCTTCATCGATTCAGGTGGTAGAGACATGTGTTACGCATTCTTGGTCACTGTTTGCCTCGTCGCACAATGTTAACTGAAGTAGGTTCGGGCTGAAATGAGGTTGGAGGTGGCCAGACTAAGACATGACATGAGTTCACAAAATCTGACTTCATCTGACCTGTGTTGGGTGATGAAGACTTCCTTGATGGGGTCCATGTGAAATGGCTCTGGATCGATCTCGATGGCTAAAATGTATCCACATCTTATCTTCATCATAATTGTCATATTGAATCGTAGTATTGTCTCTTTCACCTTGCTCTCTTTGACAACTTTCTACCACCTAACTACTACTCAGCGAATTCCTTGAGTTGAATTGTCCCAATTATCATACGTTTTATTTCTCTTAACGTCGTATTGAAACAGATCGTTTTTGGAAAATGATTGTGCAAATAAGGAATAGGAAATGATGTGAAATGGAGGTATACTATGAAAAAAAGTTACCCAGATATAATCCCATCAAATGTTTGTTTTTTCCAAGAGTTTGTAGGAGGGTTTGTTGATGATATGTAGGCCTTGTCTTCTGTAACGTTCTTAGATGGTGACTCTTCGAAATCAGCATCAGATTCGTCATCAAATGGATTCGAGGGACGTTCTACAGTCTTAGCACTCACTATTTTATTTTTCAAAACTTCAAGTGCGTCAGTCACATACGCCTTATTCAAACTGCTTTCAAAAGATAGTGTCCGTTGTAATGCGAAGATAATTAGGTTATGAGTGAGTTCCGACTGACGGCGTTTCATAACAGTCTCCAAATCAGTTCGTGTAATATGGCAGAACTCTAGAAGAAATCTAAAATTTGATGATACAAAAAGAGAAAACAACATTATGCTATGCCGACTACAAAGAAGTACAATAAATTTCACAGTAAATTTGGTCTATGGTGTTTTCTACTGATAAGAGTGCACTTAAGTATTATATCACACAGTCTCACCGGTTGATGTTCAACCAAAAGGGGTTTAGAAGAGAGAAACGAACGATTTATAGATGAACAATATTCAATTAGCTTCATATCAGCCCTATTACCAATTAGAAATTAAGTGGGATACGGTTCGAAAATGAAAAACCTTTACTTGAAAACAGATTTAATAAACCGTTCTTCAAGGTGATAGAAGTGCAGTGTAGTCAGAACGGTTATCAATAAGAAATTTGAAACAATCAGTCCCTTTGATAAGATATTTTCCTGAAATTCGATTGGGAAAGGTAGTCAGATGCATATTTTTAATCACTCTGTTTTGGAAAATGTGAATACCTGTAGAAAACCAAGTCGGGATCTAGAAACAAGATCTCAGAATACTGGTCCATAAGGTCACCCTAAGAAAACCCTATATAAACGAGGTTTGCCATATACATCGTCAGCTGACAGTTGCAATAAGTGCATTTAACTTTTCTCTGATGTCATTTTTCTTACTGACGGTCGGGTTGGAATTTAGATATTTGAATTCTTCAAGTTCTTCATTACACACCCATCTAAACGTAGTGTACGTATGCTATGAGTTATCCCCAATATGTAGAGAAATCATCCGCACAACATTAACAGGTCGAATGAGATTTGCGACCACGGCTAAGCACCTGAACCAATGAGTGATAGCTTCTTTCCAAAAAAGCGAATTCTCTTAGACTGTGAAGAATATCGTGTTGGCTCTTGAACAAGAAAGCAGCTGATACGGCAGGATGGGTTCAGCAACAAATCAAGATGCCAGTCAACATGAAAGAATTTTGTTCATTTTTACTAAACTGTGAAACGCTCTCTAAAGTTAAAAAAATTAGCACAATAGTGATAACAAACACGAAGGCCCAACAGAATTTTTTCCCGGATTCGTGTTCTAACATAAATGAGCCTCGTTAAGTTGCCTTTCAACTAACTTTGTTTTACGAAACACAAAAATAAAATAGGAATATACGATAATGGAAGTTTGATGTTGTCCTCATTGGCAGTGAATCATATGGAATACGAAAGATTCAACGTGCAAGCATCAATTCCACTCAAATGAAGAAGCCTAAGTCATTTATGCATAGTAATTTTCAGGGGTTTATAAATTTATAAATATTCACACTAAACAGGATAAGTTTCAGCAGCTGTGAATGCAGTAGTGACATTGCGCCGAAGTTAAAAAACAGTGTAATCCTACAAAACTCACTTTTCAGTCACTAACCAGGAAGAAGGAAACACTGAAACAAACAACCGCTCCAAATGAACCAAGTTTGTTCGTAACCAGTTATAGCGCTGGTCAATCTTATCCAGCCATGCAGTAGTTTGAGTTGGATCAAATAGTTCCTTGTATTCGGCAAGATGATGAGAAATGAACCAATCCAGTATGTCGGAACTGACATGCAAGCTCTCAGGGAGAAGGTCAACAAGTTCACAAGCTGAAAAAATTATTTCCTTGTTGTCCGTAACAGTTCGAGTCGCCTAATAGTTTAGTAAAATGCCAAAACCAACACAGTAAATACTAATATTAACAGCAACATATGTAATAAAGTTAACTTCATTTACGTTCACTGGCATACAAGCAAACTAATGTGTGCATTTACCACAGGAATTCATAACATATGGCTTAACAAAATGATCAGATAAATAAAAACAAGAAACTTCGTCAAGAAAATTAAGATAAGGTATAAGCAATCATAACAAACATCCAAAAAACTCAGTCCATCTAAACTGAATAAATAAGTTGGGTGCAAACACATTAGCTAATTTTTGTGGTGCGAACCAGTTTCAGAACGAAGGCATCCAAACTATGCTTAAAATATTGCATTATGTTCACAATAATGTATATTATCAGCATTTTACACAACAGGGTTATATAAAAATGCGCACTTGGAACTAATAAATAAATAAATCTTTCGAAGACATAAACCAATACTTTTGACAGTCTATTTTAACTCTTGAATGCACTTATTATTATTTTTTTTTGAGATGAATGGCGATTTTTAATTCAGAAGTAGTATTCATCATGGACTGAGATCAGTTAGGGAACCATTGAAAATCTGGGAGCACTGGACAGCTGTTTCGTAACAGTATGGGACTCCTCAGCAGTACACACCCATGACCCGGCCAGGGGTCGGACTCAGGACATTCAGGTTTCACGGCGAACGCGTTAACCATGTCGTGAATTGACAGAAGTTGGAAATTGTGAACCACTGGAAACTGACCCAGTGGCTGAATGATTAACGCGTTCGCCGTGGAACCTGAAGGTCCTGACTTCGACCCCTAGTCGGGTCGTGGGTGCGTACTTCTGAGGAATGCCATACTATTACGAAACAGCTGTCCAGTGCTCCCAGATTTTCAATGGTTCCCAAACTGATGTCAGTCCATGATAAAATACCACTTCTATATTATTTTATTATTTGTCCCTTGGGTTCCTAGTGGAACATAGGGCTTCAGTAGCACATCTCCAGTGAACTCTGTTCTCTGAAATCTTTTGAACCTGGTGCCACGACTGCCCACAAGCTCTCATTTCCTCTTCGCACGATCTCCTCCATGTAACCCTCGCCTCGGACGCCCAACTCGTCGTTTCCCATCTGGGTTCCACTCGAGGGCCTGACGCGTGATGTCCCCAGTCGGCCTTCTCAGTGTATGCTGACTCTAATCCATCTCCACTTCCTTCTGCATATTTGTTGAGTGATAGGTTCTTGATTCGTTGGTTCGTTGCCATATAGCCAGAGTTCCTTGTTGCTTATTATTTCTGGCAATCCATCTGATCTTCAGTAACGAGCCAGCGTAGGCAGTTGTTGATGAATGTCTGTAGTTTGTTGGAAATGGTTTTCGTGACGCGCCAAGTCTCTGAACTATATAGAAGCACTGACTTGACATTGGTGTTGAAAATCCGGATTTTGTTCACGCTTTATGCTGAGTGCAGTGCAGAAGATCTCCACACTGGTTTCAGGCTAATGAACACCTGTCTTGCTTTTCCCATCCTGACTGGCTTTGATATCCTCGTCTGTGCCTCAGCCTGCAGTTGAAACAGTGCTGCCTAGATAGATGAAAGAGGTTACTTCCTTCAGGTTTCTCCCATTGATGGTGATTGGAGCTTGTTGTTGTTGTTGGTGGTGGTGGTGGTGTTGGTTGGGTATCTTCATCACTTCTGTCCTCTCTACGTTCACTTGAAGTTCTGTTTTCGCTGCCTCGCCTCTTCTGTCAACTTGTTAGTTTTCGTCTGTAGATCTTCAAGTTTGTGTGACATTAGACATAAGTCACCGGCGAAATCCAAATCTTCTAGGGTCTTCTCATCGGTCCAGCGTATCCCTCTCTTCTCACAGCTCCTCACTGTTTGCTGCATGATCCAGTCGACCACAATCAGGAATATCATAAGTGATAGTAGGCAATCTTGTTTCACTCCTGTCTTTACTTCAAAAGCATCACTGAGCTTTCCATTGTGAATTACTTGGCATGTGGCGTCTTCATAAACTTGTTGAATGAGGTAGATAAAGGTTTGTGGTATTCCGTAGAGTTGAAGCAGTTTCCAAATTGCCTCTCGGTCGATGCTGTCAAAGGCCTTCTCATAGTCAATGAAGTTGAGGTAGAGAGTTGACTGCCATTCTATACTCTGTTCTATGATGATGCGTAACGTTGCAAATTGGCCCGCACATGATTTGTACTTCCTGAAGCCAACCAGCCAGCCAGCCTGTTCCGGTCGTAGTTTTGAATCTAGCGCATCCTTTAGCCTCTCCAGGATGATGCGGCTTAATATTTTGCTTGGGTTGGACAGGAGCATGATTCTGCGCCAGTTCTCGCAAAGACTTAGGTCACCCTTCTTCGGGAGTTTGACAAGGTAACCCTTCTTCCAATCTCAAGGTACATTCCCTTCTTTCCAGACCTTCTGCAATAGTGGTGTGAGCATATCCGCTTTGAATGCACTTATGATCTTATTTTTTATTTATAATTATGAATATCCAGGATTTATGAAACATATATGACATTCCTCAGGTTAATATACTTGACAAATTCTTCGAAAAAACAGTAAATTGCGTTTCTTCCAAAAGACATTTTCGAGAAAACTAAGTATGACACAAAAGTATAGGCTTCATTACTTAGAAATACAGAATGTAAATAATTAAGTATCTGATAGATTCAGATATGATGGAAAGCTATCGTGCGAAATGAACACGTTTTACATAACAAAAATGCCTCTATTTACTTTCACACATCATGGCATACGAGCTGCCATGTAATCAGTAGAGTAGTTGTATTAGTATGAAGCTGTATAATAAATTCATCCCAGTAACAAACTGAGTATTCTAAAGAAATTAAGTTAGAAACAACACCACTATTAACAAGCCTGTCTACCATTCCCCTGAATGTGCATTTATGCTTTTTAACCTTAAGCCAAATTATGATAATAAGTGATATACGATCGATATGGATCAGTGACATCAACGTAACTAAGATGAGAGCTAAGCTAATAGATGTGGCTCACCAGCTTTGTAATGGTCATTTAAAGCAAGAAAGTGTTTAACTCGTGAGCATTTTCAAAGTGTTAAAGGTTCTACTACATAATTCAGATGTCATTATTCTTGGACCTGAGTCTTGATTATGGACAAAAAAGAATAAAGATAGAAAAAACGCATATATTCTCGAAGCTGGTGGTAATTTAGTGAGTTATAGCACTTCAGAAGGTACACCAGTATTTCAGAGAATAACGTTTAAACTTAGTCCAATTAAGCTTCTCAGTAAGGATACAGTGACAGAAGCAAAATTCGATTAATTAAACCCAACAGAGTCTAAATGTCACATATATGTGGTTACCTCAAAATACATAAACCAAAAATTCCTCTACATTATATAGCGCGTTAATGTGTCACTAAGACATGAATTTGTCCAATGGCTTGTGGGATTATTGGAACCCAATAACGTCATTTAGTGAGTATGCCCTGAAAGATTATGTTTAAGTGAACAGAGTGTCTCGATAGTATTATTATCCAAAACAAAACCAAAGTATTTTTTATGATGGTAACTTCCTATTCAACAATGTTCCTGTGATGAAAACATTTGACATTGTGTGAATATCTTTCCACGTAAAGATTTTCACAACCTGTTTCCGCACTTTATTTCAGAGGATTACTAACCTCACTTATGAATAATGTAAACTTCGCAATTCAAAGTGAAAATCTGCATCAAACGGATGCCGTTAATTATAGAAAATACCTTATGCACCCCTCAAGTGGACACATATTCAGAACTTAAGATCATACCGAAGAAGACAGTGTATATGAAGGTTAACTGGTTCACTAGTTACTAGCCGGTCCTAAGACTGGGAAACGAGGGAAGGTTGGGCATACGCCTAGAAACTATACCCCGCAAAGTCAAATCCAATCGCTAAAGAAACTCCGAAGCACAAAGAAATACAAAAAATAACAATAAACTTATTCCTCCCTGGATTCGGAGAAACAAAATGACGCCGGTCGGTGAAAGACTTCGGAAGCCAATTGGCCGACGTGTCTTCTCTCATTGGAAGCGAGAGAAGGGATGGGGACATTCCATGTCCCCACCACGCATAAACCTAGCAACGCTCCACAGAGTGCAAAAGAGATGAGAAGATATAGCATAGAAGTGCTAGGAATCTCTGAGAGCAGATGGAATGGAAGTGGACTCACCAAACTGTCAACTGGAGAGTCAATAATCTACTCCGATATCGTCACCCACACGACAACCACGAGCACACTGTGTTTTGGACTGGCTATCATGATGTCCCCCTCCCAACAGCATCGAAGGCTCTCCCTCACGCAGTGAGAACCAGTCTCCTCCACGATCAGAATCACGACAAGAAGGTTCAACTCAAAATCAAGGAAAGTTGCAATCATACAATGCTACACGCCTACAAACAATGCAGATCAAGAGAAGAAGGAGGAATTATACAGACAAATGCAATCAGTACTAGACAAGACTCCACCCCAGTTGGCGATATCAAATTCCTAATGGGCGACTTGAATGCCAAACTCGTAGCAGACAACACAGGAAGAGAACTCATCATGCGTCGAGAGGCACTCTGTGAAATGAAGAATGAGAATGGAGAACTGTTTGCAAACCTCTGCGCCTTTAATGATTTGGTGATTGGAGGCAAGGCAGTGTGCACAAATACAGGGATATTCACAAAGCGACATGGATTTGATTTCACCAGACACCACGATACACTACACACTAAAATCAGACCGAATTCATTTCAATGTGAAGTGAGACGCAGCTTACTGGACACGAGATCAGATCAAGAAGGGGAGCAGATGCAGGCTCATACCACCCACTATCTAATGCAACGAACCTACCTTCGAAAACAAGTTGAAAGCCCTCAAAGAAGAATTTCGCGGTAGACCACAGTTCAAGTTGAACACCCAGAACAGAAAGTGAACTGATGGACGAAACTGTAAACGACATCTTCACGTCACCCAGCCATCAGGACAAAATGGGAGACATTAGGCAACATCCCTGAAGGAACCTGCGTGGAAGAACATTGGAACTCTTTGAAAGCTATGTGGAGAGAAACTTGCATAACCGTATTAGGAAGGAAGAAGAAGAAACAAAACAATGAGTAGATCTTGACGGACACATGGAAACTGATAGAGAAGGGAGAGGAAGATGAAACAGTGCAAGGATGAACATCGAAAAGAGGAACTGAGGACAACGTATAAAACACTGGACAAAGAGTGCACGCAGAGACAAAAGACACTTCTACGACACATTTGCAAGCGAAGCAGAACAGGCCGCTGGTAGGGGAGACCTGACAACACCATATCAAATAACCAGGTTACTACCCGGGAAGAGATCAACGCAGACGAAACCAATGGAAGATAGTGAGGGAAACCTAGTTACCATCAAAGAGGAGAAACAAAGGAAATGATTGGCTGACCACTTCAAAGTACTCTTGAATCGACCACCGTCACCAACTGAAACTCGTTCAGAAAAACCACCACCAACGGCAGAACTACGAGTGAACACAGGCCCTCCGACAGGAGCAGAAGTCCTGAATGCCATAAAACTTCCGAAATCTGGCAAAGCAGCAAGACCAGCTGGAATTCCTCCAAAAGCACTGAAAACAGACACAGAGACAACAGCGGACGTGCTCATATCACCACTGTAGAAGGTTTGCAGATTGCTAAACTCCCAAAGAACGGGGGCCTAAGCCTTTGCAAGAACTGGCGTGGAATCATGCTGCTGTCCACACCAAGCAAAATATTATGCCGCATCATCCTGGGGAGACTAAAGGATGCGCTGGATTCAAAACTACGACCGGAACAGGCTGGCTGGCTGGCTTCAGGAAGTACAAATTATGTGCCGATCAAATTGCAACGCTACGTATGCTACGCATCATCATAGAACAGAGTATAGAATGGCAGTCACCTCTTTACCTCAACTTCATTGACTTTGGAAAGGCCTTCGACAGCGTCGACCAAGAATTAATTTGGCAGTTGTTTCAACACAATGGTTTTAATGTCACAAACCTTTATCAACCCCATTCAACAGCTATTTGATGAGATGATGCTACATGCCAAGTGATTCACAATGGAAAGCTCAGGGACGCCTTCGAAGTGAAAACAGGAGTAAGACAAGATTGCCTACCATCACCGATGATCTTCCTGATTGTGGTCGACTGGACTGGACTGGATCGTACAACAAACTGCGAAGAGCGAGATGGGCATACGCTGGCTGGACCGATGAAAAGACCCTAGAACACTTGGATTTCACCGCCGATGATCATTTATGTCTCATGTCTTGTCGCACAAACTCGGAGATCAACGGCGAAAACCTACAAGTTGACACAAGAGGCAGTGAAGGAGAACGGGACTTCAAGTGAATGTAGAGAAGACAGGGGTGATGAAGCTACCCAACCAAAACAACAAGCACTAATCACCATCAACAGGAGAAACCTAAAGGAAGTTGTCTCTTTCACCTACCTCAGCAGGCAGCATAGTTTCAACTACAGGCGGCACAGACGAGGATGTCAAAGTCAGGCTTTCACTAATCTGAAATCAGTGTGGAGATCTGCTGCAATCAGCATATGGAACACTATCCGGATCTTCAGCACCAACGTCAGTCAAGTCAGTGCTTCTGTATGGTTCGGAAAATTTGAGTGTCACGTAAAGAATTTCCAACAGACTACAGACACTCATCAACAGCCGCTGCCTGCGCTCACTAGATACTGGTGATCGGATGGCCAGAAATAATAAGCAACAAGGAACTCTGGCTATATGGCAACGAACCAACGAATCAAGAACATATCGCCCAAAAAATATGCATTGTGAAACACTTGACATATAGCATCATCTCATCAAATAGCTGTTGAATGGGGTTGATAAAGGTTTGTGACATTAAAACCATTGTGTTGAAACAACTGCCAAATCAATTCTTGGTCGACGCTGTCGAAGGCCTTTCCAAAGTCAATGAAGTTGAGGTAAAGAGGTGACTGCCATTCTATACTCTGTTCTATGATGATGCGTAGCATACGTAGCGTTGCAATTTGATCGGCACATAATTTGTACTTCCTGAAGCCAGCCAGCCAGCCTGTTCCGGTCGTAGTTTTGAATCCAGCGCATCCTTTAGTCTCCCCAGGATGATGCGGCATAATATTTTGCTTGGTGTGGACAGCAGCATGATTCCACGCCAGTTCTTGCAAAGGCTTAGGCCCCCGTTCTTTGGGAGTTTAGCAATCTGCAAACCTTCTACAGTGGTGATATGAGCACGTCCGCTGTTGTCTCTGTGTCTGTTTTCAGTGCTTTTGGAGGAATTCCAGCTGGTCTTGCTGCTTTGCCAGATTTCGGAAGTTTTATGGCATTCAGGACTTCTGCTCCTGTCGGAGGGCCTGTGTTCACTCGTAGTTCTGCCGTTGGTGGTGGTTTTTCTGAACGAGTTGCAGTTGGTGACGGTGGTCGATTCAAGAGTACTTTGAAGTGGTCAGCCAATCATTTCCTTTGTTTCTCCTCTTTGATGGTAACTAGGTTTCCCTCACTATCTTCCATTGGTTTCGTCTGCGTTGATCTCTTCCCGGGTAGTAACCTGGTTATTTGATATGGTGTTGTCAGGTCTCCCCTACCAGCGGCCTGTTCTGCTTCGCTTGCAAATGTGTCGTAGAAGTGTCTTTTGTCTCTGCGTGCACTCTTTGTCCAGTGTTTTATACGTTGTCCTCAGTTCCTCTTTTCGATGTTCATCCTTGCACTGTTTCATCTTCCTCTCCCTTCTCTATCAGTTTCCATGTGTCCGTCAAGATCTACTCATTGTTTTGTTTCTTCTTCTTCCTTCCTAATACGGTTATGCAAGTTTCTCTCCACATAGCTTTCAAAGAGTTCCAATGTTCTTCCACG